GCTAGTAAAGCTTCATATTCTGCCTCATTGTTTGAAGCCTGAAAACTGAAGCGTAGAGCATACTCGAATCTGTCGCCCTCTGGCGACTGACATATGACGCCTGCTCCACAACCATTTGAAGTAGAGCTTCCGTCCACATATACCTTCCATACTTGGTCTGGAACTTGAGAGTCAGGAGGACGAGTCATCTCTACAATAAAGTCAGCAAAGGCTTGCCCCTTCACTGCTTTTCTAGGCTCGAAAGTAACTTCGAGGCTCTGTATTTCTATGGCCCATTTGATCATTCGGCCTGACGACTCCATGATGGTAAGGGGCCGCTTGATAGGTTGGTCTGTATACACGACGACTGCATGTGCCAAAAAGTAGGGCCTCAATTTTTTAACAGCCATGAAGAGTGCAAGACCAAATTTCTCCACTAGGGGATACCTCAACTCGGCATTTTTCAGTATGTGACTGACAAAGTAGACCGGGAGCTGACAGCCGTCCCTTTCAGCAAGGAGAACAGCGCTTAACGCATGATCAGAGACGGCCAGGTACATGTAGAGAACCTCTTTGGGCAAAGGGCTGACCAGCCTCGGCAAGGAATGCAAGTGAACTTTTAATTTCTGGAAGGCGGCCTCAGCATCCGGCCCCCATTCAAACCTTGCCTTTTTCTTAATTGCCTGGAAAAAGTATAGGCATTTGTCGCCTGATCGGCTTAGAAATCTTCCCAAGGCCGCCAGACAACCTGTTAACTTCTGAACCTCTCGGATGGTACGAGGCGACTGCATGTCAATGACCGCCTGTACCTTCTCAGGGTTCGCTTCTATTCCTCTCTGATTGATAAGGAATCCGAGAAATTTCCCAGACTCAACTCCAAATACACATTTCTTGGGATTGAGCATGACATGGTGCCGCCTGAGTGTGGCGAAAGTTTCTCGGAGGTCCGACAGATGATCTTTCTGAAGTTTAGTCTTGACAATCATATCATCAATATATGCCTCGACGTTTCTCCCAATCTGATCAAAGAACACTGTGTTTATCATTCGTTGGAAGGTAGCCGGGGCATTCTTAAGACCAAACGGCATGACCGTGTAACAGTATAACCCCTGATCAGTGACGAAGGCCGTCTTCTCCTGATCTTTCTTCCATAAGGGAATTTGATGGAAACCAGAATAGGCGTCCATGAAACTCATCAAGGCATGGCCGGCTGTTGAGTCGACCAGGTTATCAATTTTAGGCAGAGGGTAACTGTCTTTGGGGCACGCCTTGTTTAAGTCTGTGTAGTCTGCACACATTCGCCAAGTGCCATTCGGCTTTTTAACAAGCACCACATTTGCAACCCAGTCTGGGAAGTAACATTGCCGAATGAACCCTGCATCAAGTAATTTTTTAACTTCGGCGGCTGCCGCCTGACTTCTTTCTTCGCCATGGTTCCGCTTCTTTTGCCGTACCGGCTTCTTTTTCGGATCCACGGCGAGTTTATGTACCGCCAGATCAGGACTAATGCCTGGCATTTCATGGACTTCAAATGCAAAGATGTCCTTGTATTCTTTCAATAGGTTGTGAAAGTCGTCACCAAGGTTTCTCAGAGCAGTCGTCCCAACTTTGACTGTTCGGTCAGGACGTGAGTCGTCTAAGATCAGGTCCGCATGCTCACCAGCCGGCTGAGGGCGGAACTCATCCGGCCGCTCCTCTGCCAATGATTGCTATTTTCTTGTTTTTCTTGCGGACTCTGTCTGGGACGCCTTTCTCTTTTTGCCGCCTGCTTCTTGAACAGGCGCACTCTCCTTGACATTGTCAAGGTCTGTTTTTTCACCACTTGACCCAGTGGCCATAACAGTGGGCTTGACATCCGAGAGATAGCACTCTCGGGCCATCCTCTGATCTCCCCTTAGGGAGCCGACTGTTCCATTATCCCTCTCAAACTTGAGCAACATAAGAGACGGGATTATAATAGCCTTGGAATTATTCAGGGTTGGTCGACCCAGAATCATGTTGTAGGCCGAGAGTTCCTCTACTACTAGGAACCGGACTACCATGTGTCGTCCTTCCCCTTTTTCGCCCAGGCGAATGGGTAAATCTACTCGTCCCAGTGGGTGGACGACTCCTCCTCCAAACCCTATTAAAGGGTGGGAGGCCGGATGTATGCAGTCTGTCTGATATTTTAGTTTCGACAGACATTTGCTGCTGATGAGATCTGAGGAGCTCCCGGTATCTATGAGGATTCGGCCAACTCTCTGGTTGGCCACTTTACATTCAATAACGAGAGGGTCGTCATGCGGCCCCCTTACCCCTCCTAGATCCTCTTCAGTGATGACAATCTCAGGAAATGTATATTTGGACGGCCGTTCTTGGTGAACGGAATTTACATCTAACCGCCTTATATTATCTTTGTTTCCCCTAATAGTGGGACCGCCTCCTGAGAAGCCGCCTGCAATGGTGTAGACGACTGCATCATCTGTATCGGAGCTGTCGGCCTGTTGATTCTTTTTGGCCGACAGCTTTTTTGAGGAAGTGTTCCCCGTAGATTTCTTGACATAAGTGTCAAGATCACCTTGCTCAGCCAGGCGGTCTAGGTACCGCATAAGACTGATGCATCATTGGTGTGATGACCAACGTCATCATGATAAGCACAGATTTTATCTTGGTTTCGGTTGTTTGCAGAACCCTTCATGGGGACCGGCTTCTCAATTGAGATCCGTCCCTTAATTTCTTTTAGGATAAACTGGTTATCCTTGTTAAACGCATACTTTGGGGAGTATGGTTTGAATTCTTTTTTCTTTTTCTGGGCCGGCTGTTTAGAGGAATCAGCCGCCCAGACCTCTTTTCTTTTCTCATCTTTGTTTGACGACTGTTTCTGTCGTCCTTCTCTTTTGTCGAACCTTTTCCCGTCCGACTTTTTTATCGTACACAGATCAGTCGCCTGTATATAGGCTTCTGCTTCAATCAAGGCCTCTTGAAGAGTCGCCACCCTTTTTCGAACCAAATCAAATTTGAAGGTAGACCCGTCTTTGAGACCTCTAAAAAAGTCGGTATAAGCTACCTCATCCGGTAACCCTTGAATCTGTATTCTCATCAGGTTAAACCGCCTGATGTAAGAACGAAGCCCCTCCTTCTCGCCCTGCTGAATTGTTCCCAAATCAAGGGTCGTTTTCTTCGCAGGGATGTTCATGGCGAAGTTGGAGGCAAATAAGTAAGCAAGCGTCCTGAAGCTATTTACACAACCAGTCGGCAGGTTGCCGAACCATTGCTGTGCGATTCCTTTGAGAGTCGCTGGGAAACACTTGCACCAAGTGGGATCATCCAACCCTTGAAGGTACATCAGGTTGGTGAATGCCATCAGATGGTCTTCTGGGTTAGTAGTGCCGTCATAGGCGCCTACTAGTACATTTTTTACTTTGGCCGGCTGAGCGGCGTCAGTAATTTCCTTGGAGAAGGCCGACGACTGTTCACCAAGTCTAAGCAACCGTAGCTGCCAGTCCATAGGTTGGACGTTTTTTGCTGTAGGTCCACCAAATGGAGGTGGCTGCATAAAATACTGTTGTTGCGGCACAAATGGTAAGTTTGGTACCGCCTGGGCACTATGAAAGCCGGACTGACGGGAGGTGCCGCCTGACTGACTCTCATGGTACGACTGAGTATGCCTCATCGAGGCATTTCGCAAACTGTCTTGAAAGTTTGAAGTAGAAGCCGACTCTGACAATCGGTCACTCTTCTTCTGCTCTAGCAGTAGCCGAGCATCTGTGAATGTTTGCTTTGACCCGTCCGCCTGAATATGACGAACCGGTTTCCTATTTCCTGTAGGATAACGGAATTTTGTGAAATCAAGGGCAGGTGGCTCCCGCTTCCTAGATTTAGGATGAGGAGTCGCCTCTCGCCCTTGAACTGGCTTCCTCTTCAGTGAAGTGGAGGGTTTCTTGGCCGACTGCTCCTTGACTGAAGCAGGCGGCTTCTTGTTGATCAACTCTTGAATCTCTCCCTTGAAGTCCCTCATGAAGGTTATGAGTTCGTTCCTTGTGATGGGAGCAGACCCATCAGTCGGCTGTTGCCGAACAGGCGGTGCGCCTGCCGGCTCGCTTCCTGTTTGAAGATGCTCCCGTTCCCTCCTTTCGGTATGACGGGTACGTCGGGCCCTTAGGGTCCCGTCTGAAGCTGTATGAGTTTCAACTTCAAATTCACTTTCGGTGTCATGGTCCGACTGAACTTGAGGGTCGTTTAGGGGACGCCTCTCTTCAGGAGTCGGTACAGACTTGGATGCCATCTCTGAAGTACTCTCCCCACAGACGGCGCCAAATGTTTCGGGGTTTTCTGATGTCCTGCGGGAGAGTTACAATTCCGAGACTGGAACCGGACGCCTGTACCTGCAAAATAACGGAGACTCCTGGGAGCTCCGCCTCCAACGGTCAAGTTAGTACCTGATTAAGGAGTAATTAACGCGGAAATTAAAGTAATAAGGTCTCTCTAGGTGAGAGTGTTTAATGTAGGTAATCTGCTTTGTTAGCGAGATCAGCCGGTTATTAGTGTGTTCCGTAATGTTTCTGTTCTGTCCCCCCCCTAATGAGGATTAAGGGAGGTATTTATAACCTTGGGAAACGTGCCCATCCTAGGTTTAGGTAAACCTAGGGCCGATTGGGCTTCCCTCGGAAGTTGGGCCTGGGTGGCCGGTTTTCCCATTTGGCATGGGTGGACACGTGGCGTGTCTCAATTGGTCCGTAGAGGACGTATCTGTGATTGACACGTGGCAGGCTCCTATTGGCCTACGTGGAGGACACGTGGCGGAACCTGGTTGGTCCACTTGTTAGACGGTGATTGGTGGATAAAAATCCCCTAATCAATTATTGTTGTTGTTGTTGTTGTTGTTGTTGTTGTTGTTGTTGTCGTCGTCGTCGTCGTCGTTGTAATAAGAGCTTAAAAGAATGAAATTTGGTTTTATATCATTAGCAATATCATTAGACGTAAATTAAGAGTTGAACTGAACTGAACTTCAACGGAAGAGAACAAATCCGTAGTATTATCAAAATAAAACATATACATTACCAAAAATTAGCAAAAACACGAAAGGAATAAGAAAAAACGTCTAGATACATCCTCCCTTCACGTCTTACCAGCATCTACCCCGTTCTATGAACCCAATCTCTCTCGTCTCATCCCCATTTCCCTTTTTCCATTTTCTATAAACCAAACCCTTTCTTCACTCTTCTCTCAATTCTCACTTTCTTAGGGTTTCGATTCTGCTATTTTAATTTAATTTAATTTAATTTCCCATGGGAATTTCATCATTTCTATCTTCAATCCCTTTTTCCAATTCATCTTCCATTTCCTTAAATCTTATCAATTGTTGTTGTTATTGTTCTTGTTGTAGTAGTTGTTGATTTTGGTTTGGCTGTTTAATTTGATTGTTTGATTGATTTTTCTGGGAATTGTTGTATTGTTTACAAATTGTGCTTGATTATGGATTTGTCTCACTCTCAATCGAATCTCTCTCTCGGGTTTCACTCCCATTCGTCTGTTCCTGCTTCGACAACGACTGCGAATTCGAATAATTCGAACCCTAATCGAGTTTCAATCAACGACGATTCCATTTCGTTTCAGATTGATTCGAGGTTGCGCGAGTCGTCGATTCCAATTTCATCGATTCCTCTGCAATTGCTGGAATCTCAAACACCGCAGAATTGCAGGAAGATCGAGAATGGGTTTTCTGAGGAGAGAGAGAGAATCGCTGTTTTAGAGCCTAAAAAAGATGTGGAGGATACTGAGGAGAGAGAGGAAGAAAATCGTGGCGAAGACGATGAAGAGGTGGAGGAGTTTCGCATTCTAGGGCACTCTATGTGCTTGAAACGTCGCCGTGATAGGGAGGATTCTGTGTCTTCGTCGTCTACAGCTTCGGCTAAACGGGTTTTCTTCGATTCGAGTATGGAGGCGCGCAAGGGTGCAGTCAGGGCATGGGGGAACCAGCCGTTGCGATCGGCTGATCCCGAGATTTTCGATATTATGGATAAAGAGAAGTTGAGGCAATGCAAAGGAATCGAATTGATTGCTTCGGAGAATTTCGTTTGTAGAGCTGTGATGGAGGCATTAGGAAGCTCTTTAACAAATAAGTATTCGGAAGGAATGCCTGGGCAGAGATACTATGGTGGAAATCAGTACATTGATGAGATTGAACTTCTCTGTTGTGACCGAGCATTGGCGGCTTTCGATCTTAGTTCAGAGAATTGGGGTGTTAATGTGCAGCCATATTCGTGTACTTCAGCGAATTTCGCAGTTTACACCGGGATTTTGTTGCCCGGGGATCGAATTATGGGATTGGACACCCTTTCAGGAGGAAATACTAGTCATGGTTGTTATACACCCAATGGCAGGAAGGTTTCTGGGGCCTCAATTTTCTTTGAAAGCTTGCCTTACAAGGTCAATCCCCTTACTGGGTATGTTGATTATGATAAGCTCGAGGAAAGGGCGCTCGATTTTCGTCCCAAGATACTGATTTGTGGTGGTAGTTCTTATCCTCGTGAGTGGGATTATGCTAGGTTGAGGCAGGTTGCTGATAAGTGTGGTGCTATTTTGATGTGTGACATGGCTCAAATTAGTGGTCTTATTGCAGCTAAGGTTGGGGTTCTTGCTTTTTGTTTAAATTAATTAGTTTTATGCCTGTGTTACAATATCTGTTTACATTTTATCATCTTGCCTTTCAAGTTGGGATAATCTGATGAATATAGGTGGAGTTAGTAACATTGCGTTTGCAATTCTGATGATTGTGTATCATGTATTATCTGATTTTTGGCGTCTAATGATACTCAGCTGTTGCATACTGTGTGTTGTGTAGTTTTACTTCTGAAATTAGAGTTGAATGAGTCTTTTGTATAAAACCTGTAGAATGTTTGTTTGAGAATTATAGTTATTGCAGGGTTTCGGCTCATGGTTAATTGATAAACTTGTAGAATATACTTCTTTTATGGGGATGGGGACTTAATCTTTTTCCTGTTTTGTTTTATCTCTTTATATTTGCTGAGGCTGAATGCAGAAGCATCATTTAGAGGCATCCATCTTTTGTCACAGTGGAATCACTCATGAATGGACATGCTTAGACTAAATTTAATACCTTTATTATTTGTTTGCTATGAATAAAGATGATACAGCTATATAGGGAAAGGACTGTTTGACCTCTATGACCCTGGAACTGGCAGATTTTGTATGGTGTTAGATTGTTGTATCACTTATAAGCATGTGTAGGTTGTTGAATGTGTTTGATTTTAAGTTTGTTTGCTAGCCTTGTATCGTGTATGTTATCTAATTTGCTTGCATGAAGGCTGTAGATTGAATGTTGTTGCTTCTAATTACTGTCTTCTTTATGAGTCCTTGAAATTAAACTTTTGTTTTTCTTAATGTTTGCAGGAATGTGTCAGTCCTTTTGAATATTGTGATATTGTTACCTCCACAACTCATAAGAGTTTGCGAGGTCCTAGAGGAGGTATAATATTTTTTAGGAAGGGCAAAAAACAAAGGAACAGAAGCTTGATGAATCCGTCTGAAGACAGTGAGCAGTATGATTTTGAAGATAAGATAAATTTTGCTGTCTTCCCTGTTTTACAAGGTGGCCCGCACAACAACCACATAGCTGCTCTTGCTATAGCTTTGAAACAGGTTGTTACCCCTGAGTATAAAGCATACATGCAACAAGTTAGGAAAAATGCTCAGGCATTGGCATCGGCATTATTGCGAAGAAAATGTCGGCTAATAACTGGCGGCACAGACAATCACTTGCTCCTGTGGGATCTAAGGCCCCTTGGATTGACAGGTATACATTTTTTTTCCTCTTCTTATTAAGTTCTGTATAATACTCCTCCCCTCTCTGTTTTTCCTCGGTGGTGTTTGTTACTTTTTGGATTTTTGATGATGGAGGAGAGACAAAATTGGTGGGGCCATGTGAGATTGAAGGGGTGGTCTCGTATGTTCATTTATAGTATGGGGCAAACTTAAAGGGATTAATTTAAATAGGAAGTGTGAGAAATAAGGAGTAGATCAAGCTTCTTGGTAGTTAAACAAATAAATAACATTAAGTAGCAGGGAATTAATTTGTTGACAGACAGAATTTATGTGAATACAATCATCAATTGTGTTTAATTTCATCTGTGAGTTAACCAACCATAAACAGTTTGATTCTTCTCGTCTACCTTATGATAAGAGGTGTTAAATTTATTTTCTGGTTCCTTATCTTTCAGCAACATTGAAATAAATTGAAAAAGTGAATGCTGATGCATGGGAAGCAAGGGGAATTGCAGGAATTCAAGCCACTTGTGGTTCACCCAAAATTGGAGTAATCAGAAATCAAAAGTGAAAATTTAGGATTAATTCTCAGTACATGTGCTCCCTTTAAAGTTTAACAGTTATTCACTTCTGCTCTTTCCTCTCCTCCTTTTCTCATGGTCCAATAATTTGCATCCATGTCTCTGTTCTTCGTTCTCTTCTCCGCCTGCCTCTCTTCCTTGTTTCACATCTAGTTGTCGGGGCTTCCCTTAGGCCTCTCTTATTGAAGGAAACTAACAACCCTAAGAAATACCAAAATTTATCGAATAAAAAATACTTAATGGCTTGGCTTATTAAACCCCTTACTTTTTACACCCCTAAATGTGTACTTGAATATTAGATTCTTCAGAAGGAAAAATAAAGGGAGAAATTCAGTAAATAGTTGTTTAATACTACTCCCCCCTGGGATGTGTGTTATTTAGGTGACTACTTGTTAGTTGCCACTGTAATATAGTGGTCAAGGATGGGGAAAAATTCTTAGAAAGCTGCCCTTTGGTTATAATGTTACTCAATGTGAAATCTAGCTTAATAGTGAAATTATGCACTGGGTATACTTTGCTGTTACCACTTTGAAAATTTTATCCATACATGGTGATAGCTAGCAAGTATTTAAGCGAGTTCAAAGGTCCTTGCCATTGTAATTTTGTAACTTTATTTTTGTGGGTAATTAGTTTGGTTTTGCTGACCTACATCTACTTGCTGTGCTATGACAAGTAGCTTGTAATGTTCACATATGTTATCTTCTTGCTTGCTGCTCTTTACATCTTCCATGACCACTTTTTCCTTTTTCCATGTTACCAGGTAAGAATTTCGAGAAGGTATGTGAAATGTGTCGTATTACTCTGAACAAAGTTGCTTTGTTTGGTGACAACGGTACCATAACACCTGGTGGTGTGAGGATTGGTAAGTGTTTTCTATTATTGTTGCATAATTATGAGAATTACTGTATTCATCATTACATATACCCTTACAATCAGTTTGCTGGGTTTATTTCATCAGGTACACCTGCAATGACAACAAGGGGTTGTTTGGAATCTGATTTTGAGGTGATTGCTGACTTTCTTATCCGAGCTGCTCAAATCACATGTTTAGTGCGAAGAGAACATGGGAAGGCACAGAAATGCTTCTTAAAGGGTTTGCGAAGTAATAAAGACGTTATTGACTTGCGAACCCGTGTAGAAACTTTTGCTTCGCAATTTGCAATGCCAGGTTTTGATGTATAGTTGCAGCAGCAGGGATGGTGGAAGGATGTCATTTGCATCAGCCATGATTTATCTCTAGAATCACTACAAGTCATCATTTGCATAGTTTGCCCTTCTTTTTTTACCCTTATTACCTCAATCTTTCTCCTGGCATCTTTTCTCATGCCAAACTCACAAAGTGGATGGTTTACTCATGCTCCTGATTCTGGACAACGTTGCTGTTGATCTCGGTTGGCACTTAATGAATTGTTCGTTCAGTCATGGTCATACAAGTTACCCCTGATTTTTCTTACCCTTCTTGGTCGTCATTCTTTTTGGGCTACTTGCAATATTTCCTGCCTTCTCTGAAGTTGGACTTTTTAAGTACTTTACCTCGCAGGTCTATGAATGAACAAGGAGCTTTGCTTCTTTTTCTGGAATACTTTATTGTGTTTGACCATGTTATTTATGTACAGTCAAGATTAGCTTATCTATATACTACTAGTATTTGATACAGTAATGGAATTGGTAATTTGAGGTTTGAATGCCCTGAATTTTGTTTTATTATACAATTTGTATAATCAGAAAGAATGTAGACACTGTTTTTTAATTGATTCGTGCGGATTTTAATTAAGTGCTAAAAAGGGCAAAAAAAAAAATAATCATTTTGATCTTATTTTCTGAAAGTGGGTATGGTGTAAACATTTACTTCTTACATCTTCCTAATATTGCAATAAAGAGGGAAGACGAGGATTTTAAGAAGAGGAGATGGATAAAGAGAAATAAATAGTGTAAAAAAAGAGTTTTATGTGATGAGTAGAGAGAGGGAGAGAAAATATATACTTATATACTCCCTCGGTCATCAAAAAAACGATTTTTATAATTTAAACTAGTACGTACCCCGGGCAATGCTTCGGGTTCCCTTCATAATATAGATCCTCATGTTTCAAAAACCCTTACACTAAGGTTTCAAAAAAAAAAAAAAAACCCTTACAGTAATTGGCTAATTGTAAAATAATTATCATATCATAACTAATATATAAAGGCTAAAATTTTAGCCAGATTACGAGGCAGCAACACTTGGCATTCCAACCTTTTGCCAAGTGTCGTGCCACGTTTGATTGATTTAAATAGATTGCATAAGATTAAAAGTTAGTTTAGAATTTTATTTGGATAGAATTTTAGGATAAAATTGTTAGTTTAGACTTTTATTTTCGATAATAAAATACCAATATTTTAGATGTACAAATTGAATTATAATTTTATTATATAAATGTTATGAAATATATATTTGTGGATGTCCATTATACCCTTGTATCATTCCAGAATTTTCTAGATTTTAGGGTTTATTATTCTCCAAGCAAATCCTATCAATTGTATTGTATCTATATATATCTATACCTCCACTATATGAAATACTAGTAGAACACACAGATTAATTCTCTATATATCTCTTATATTTTCACCTTATTTTATAACACGTTATCAGCACCAAACTCTAGCCAGTTGATCAGATTCACATATTGTCGACATAGTTCTCACCATAACTCTAAATTGATTTCAATTGCAATTAAAGCACCATAGTTTTGTGCGGCCGATTAACTTAGATCTCAACGACAAGGTATGAATACAATCATACATCTATATTCTAGATTGATGATGATAAATTTATATACAACTAAATAGTCTGACATGTGGATTCCTATTACTATCTATATTTCATATTAGAACGTCAATATTGTTGCAACTATAAATTTTGTGTGACGTCATATTTTGTATTGATTTATCTAGCGGAGTTACCGGTGGATTTGTTATTAATTTGGTTGTGTTATATATTGTTCTGCCTTTCCTCATTTACCCTACACCCTCTCATCTTGTGATTATGATATTCTCTTGTAATCTCAATCAATACTAAAATAATTGTTTAGTTTGGAAATTTTGAAATTTTAATCACTTTTCTCCAAGTTTCAATTTTTTTTTTCGGCAAACCAATCCTTGATGCTTATACGCAAATGGATTGATTTATTATTAAACTAGAATAGTAGACATTGCCCACAATACACAACCTCATTTTGTGTTAATAATCTTTTGTATGCAATTAGTTGTGCGTCATACTATGATGGGTAAATGGTGGTTCATTTGGGCTATATTTGGCATATTTTGGTGATGTATGATGAATTCGGCATATTTTGGCAAGGTGCATAATGATTATATTTGAAATAATGTTTTTATTCGGTTTACATATATTTTGGCTTTTAAGGGTTATATTTCTATTTTTATTTTCTAATACAATAAATTAATTGAAGGAAATCAATTCTATGCAGATTGTATTATCAGAACTTTAATACATACAAATTACAATCTAGGAAGTTAGGCAGAATATTATCCTAACTAAATCCCTTAACAAGTGGGATAATTTTTTTACTAAGCAAACCTAACTAATACGGAGTAGCTAGCAGTATGATAACATATTACTAAGGATAATTACAATTAAAATGATACAATAGAATATATAATACGTACGGAGTATATTCTTAACATTAATTACTTGAATCATTATGTTAATCTATGCAATACCGTCTTTATCATTGTGGTTTGATGTATATAAAATATTGCCAATTAGGATTGAAGATATATTTTATGATAAATATGGTTTTACTTGTCAACGACAAGCCTAAGATCTTGCTTGTGAAAGATAAGTAGTATGTTTTGGTGAGATAAATTTGAAGAGTAAAAAGATATATTCTAGTTTAATTTTCCTAATTGTTCACTTGTCTTGTGGCCTAAGGTTTGTCATGGCAACTTTTATTATCCAGAATTACTTGTCTTAATCTTAAGATATATTAATTTATTCCAGTTTGATGAATAAAATCAAACAATAGATTCCGGGGGGTACTATTTCTTATTGTTTGTAAAAAAATTTAATACTAACATACTTCATAGTACTTTTGTGAATTATATATAGGGTGAATACCAACTATCAGTGTTAGACATTGAAATATGTTATAGATTAAGTCTATTTTTAATTTGTAATATTTTCTAATTCTTTGAAGATTGTTATATTGCCCGTATAATTAGTGATATTACTTATACCTGGAAGATGTCATAACCTTATTGACCACATGAATGATTAGTCTTGGTTACCCCAAATTATGCTAGTATATCTCTAAAGGTACGGTGATTTTGAGAAATTTCATTTATTTTGTCTATTAGATGTGAAAGAAATTTACGAATTATAGTTTGTTATGACAATTACTATTACATGATATATATATATATATATATATATATATATATATATATATATATATATATATATATATATATATATATATATATATATATATATATATATATATATATATATATATATATATATATATATACATATACATACATATACATACACATACATATACATACATATACATATATATACATATATATACATATATATATATATATATATATATATATATATATATATATATATATATATATATATATATATATATATATATATATATATATATATATATGGTTTCCAATTATATATGGAAGACAGTAGTATAATACTACACGCTTGCAAGCCTATACTATATAATTGCATACGATTTTTCACATTTCGATTAGATGTATTAACTTCTCTTAAATAAGGAAACATATTGTCATGGTGATTGATATGCAATTAAATCCAATTGTATGTAAGGTATGTTTTGATTAAAGCTCATTCCCACAACTGAATGAGAAAGTACATAATTGAATAACAACAAACACATTTGCATGGTGTTTTATTGATTATATAATATTCATGAATAAATTCATAAGAATTGTAACACATGCATGAGAATAAATTTATAAGTTTAAGTAATTGTGAATGACATACTTTTGAGAATTTTCAATATAATGATTCTTATAATTGGGCAAGAGGAAAAGAATAACTTTGCTTTGTTTGATACATGCATTGCAAAGTAATTTATGACTTAAAAGGAGTAAATTTAAAGATTGTTGGACTATTTTTATACCCCATATGCATTAGGAGGAGATAGTGTTTATTCTACTGTTTTTATGTAATCCTTGCACATGAATAATTAAATATGTTAATGGTCAGTTTGGTACATACACTAGTCTAAACATCAATAAATTTATTTAATAGAGGTGGCTACATGATAATCAAATATTTAGCATGATACCATCCTGAAGATGGATATGAATAAATGTCATTACCTATATAATAGCTATAAATGTACATATTAAGTTGATGTCCTAGATGGACAAGATCAGTTACTATTGAACTAGCACACCTGAAGTGTGGTAATGCAAAATATTACAACAATAAGAATCCTTAGAAGAGGAAAGAAGCACTAATTAACAATGAAAAATTTGAGAAAGTGACACATTTTATGTATCTCCTAAAGAGATCATTTCTAATACATTAAAATGTGATATGATTATATAAAGTACTCTAGAAGAGTATAAAATGTTGTCCAACAAGGTTAGCATGTATTAAGATTACAATCAATGCTCTAGTGGAGTATGAGTATTCGTTAATTGTCTTGCCAATTGTAGAAAGAAACACATTGGTGTACTTATATCACATCATATTCATGGCCATGCATAAAGTATCTCTAATAAGGTGATCACCAATATTATAAAACTGACCATAATTTAAATACTAAAGGAAAAGTGATTGGATGTGATAATTAATAATAAATCCATCCGGGGTTTAATAAATTCCTGTTATGAAAACCTGAAGTTTCATTTGATATGAAAAAAATAATGTGCTGACACTCTCTCATGTTAAATATATGAAATAAATTGAATGACAAGACATAACATTGAGATTGAGCTATATTTAGATTGTGATTTTTATTAGTTTGTGTTAAAGAAAAGTTCAAGAGATAATATATTGGTTTTTCTGAATGAATGGTGACCAGAAGTTCACTAGAATAATTTATATTTTGACAAATATTAGGTGACCATAAGCTCACCACGTACAAGTTATATGTGTAAATTTTAAGTAACTAGTATCATATTATCAATGTTTCTAGTGATCCCGAAGATCACCACCTAGTGAAATTATAAGAAAATTTATATTTGTATAACAATTCTCTTGATTGGGGCTATTGTATGTCAGCACATAAGGAATAAAATAAGAAAATAGCAACTGCACAATTTATTACCCCTATTAATATTAATCTCTAGAAGAGAACAAAATTTCATTATTCTCCAGAAGAGATAGAACTTTGTTGAATATATATGATTATCCTACGAGATAAAATTTGATGCATATGAAATTATATTCTAAGTTGGTGAAGAATTGCCCCAACATTTGAGATATTTTACCAACTTAGGGGGAAGAATTGAAGTAAGTTGGCAAAGTTTTAATACTATAAATAGTTGATCCCTCTAATGATAATTTATAAAGTTACATGCCAACTTTTGTATCAACATATGCTGCACATCTATTATTTGATTTGTATACCGTTATGACCCATCTAAAGGAATATAGAGATATATTTTGATTATAGTGATAATGATATTATGTGCATACATTAAGATAGATCTTGCCAATTTTCTTTAAATCACTGCACTTGAAGTGTAGTTTGT